TATGTATATTGTCTACTTCTTTCCCTACTATAACAGAAAGCAATGGTATTTCCTGAAAGTCCTCCAAGCCCCAGCTATATGATGGCTGATATTTGAGCTTGTTATGTTATTTATTTTGTTAATATGTCATGATCTTCAGTTCACTGATCTAGTCAGTAATTTCTTGCCTTCTCTAAGAAGATAGAAGTTTTAGTTCAATCCTACTTTGTTGCCACTGGTGCAATTCTGGAATCGTCCACATTTGATGAAAATGTAGTCAAAAACAATAGTGGTAGGATTATGACTGTTTAGGGTTGTTTTCTTTGCTTAATGTTTGGTTGACATAATTGCTGGTTTCATCTGATGTAATTCTTCTTGCAGACTTGCGATTCATTTTTTCATTTTTTTGCAGCTAAATCTGAGGGACCTTGAATGTTACACACTCAGTTTTGGAACTCAGTTCAGCTCATAACAATGCAGAATGAAGTTGTGCTAATTAAATCTGTAAGCTTCTAAATTTTGAGCTGTTACATAAGCATAGTGTTTATAGCTTCCGAAACTGAGAAAATATATAAAGTCAGAAAGTTTTACTCTTGATCTATAATAAAATGGGTTATGACTTATGAGATTTTCTCAACTGAAACCAATGGTCCCGACCAAAAGTAAAATCTGAAATCAATGGTAGTTGCATCCTCCTTACAGTTTTTTACTTTTCACGGTTTCTCACTTTAAAGAGCCAAATTTGCTTTTTTGGCATAACTAATAAAAAAACTCGATACATTAAAATAGTCATCTGAGAAAAATACCTATTGTGCCTAATATGAATATGCTCATGTAAAAATTGCTCTTAATTTTTTGCAGATACAATTTATAAAAATTCATATGATTCATAAGCCTAGTGTAATCAAGTTTTATATTGAATGGTTTTTGATAGTTCACGTTAACAGGTTGTAGGTTTCATGACATACTGACAAACAGTGGTTTCTCCACTATAATAACTGCAGATATTAATTTATCTGAATTAAGTAAATTGATTCTGAAGGCTAATGATATTCTTCTCACTTAAGTGAGTGTGAAACTTGAAAGTGTCATCCACGTGCAGATTGATCTGCATTTGCATCCAGGTACGACAAATAGGAGAAGTTTCTGATCATAAATTCTTAATACAGGTTAGGGGAAGTTTGCTGATTGTGCTGACGTCGATGTATCTTGGGGGACATAAAGTGAAGAACGGAAAATTGAAGCTTAAAGTTGATGAAGGCTGATTGCGTTTCTTTAGTGTAATATATTTTTGTAGTATCCTAATATATTGACTGCAATGTTTATTTTTCTCATTAGTTTTCAATGCAACATTATTTACACTTTTATGCATTTAGTTTGTAGTTGAAACATTTCAATTTTGAAAAATTGGAGCCCCCCCCACCCCAAAAAGAAAAATTAATATTGTGTACATTTTTCCTTTTTCTTAACAATTGGTTAATTTAAGGAATGAGAATGGTAAATATAACTCACCAGATCATATTTAAAATATAAATATGTGGATAATTTTATTGATAATAGTTGTTTGATTGAAGAATGAGTGAAAATAATTATTTGATTGAAGAGAAATAAAATAAAAGTTGATTTTTGAAGAGGTTCTTTTGTTTTAAAAAAGAATAAATATTATTACTATTATTATATTATTATATAACATCCCAGAGTAGTTAAGGAAGAAATAGATTATTATTATTATTATTATTAAGGAAGAAATAGATAGAAATAATTTTATTAAAAGATTAAACGGTGTATGTGTTAACAGTGGAAAAAGGTAATTTTAATAGGTTCAACTAATTAAAAATTGTCACATTATTTGATGATTTTATCTAACATTAAATTTTTTTCTCAATATGATTTATAATGAATCGATAGTGAAATATATATACTTTTAAATGGATTATATGAAAAGTTACAAAAAAAATTTATAAATATTTTCCTTGAAGAATTATTCCTAAAAACGTTATTGCGCAAGATAATTATTTACTTTTAATATATAGATTGATTTGTGTAAAATTATTGATAAAAAGTACATTAAAAATAAAATAATGGACACTAAAAATATTGAACATCGTGATCCAAATCCAATTTTTTAGTTCAACATTTTAAGAATTTGATTTTTAGTCTTTTAAAAAAAATTACTTTTTCATTAGTTTTTGTTTCATAAATTAGTCATTAGAGTTAAATGTAAATTATAGAGTGTTATAATTCTTTTAATTATTTTGTGAATTTTGATATCACATTGAAAGTGTCTTCAAGGTATCGAGTGCATGATCAATTGTGCTTAGCATGAGGAGAGAGACTCGTCTTAAGTTGAAATAGCGTTAAGTGTAGTTTGAATGACACTGAATGTGAGAGTACTAGGAGGTTTCTGACTTGGTGATGTTGGGTCTAGGGTGGAGTGACTCCCAACATGGCCAAATCAGAGCTCTTTGTCTGGATGACATTGGGCGCTAGTATGGTGGCATCGAACGTGATTCAGGCATTGGGTCTATGGTTGAAATGAGGTCGAGTGTGATTGTTTTCCACACTAGACACAAGGTCTTAAGGGCCTTTGTCTTATCCACGTCGGGTGCAAGTTGTATAGCGTTAGGTGTGGGCAAAGCAGAGAGTTTCCTACCTCGATGGCGCTAGGCATGGAGTGTGTTGCGTTGGACGCTATTAGTAGAATGAGAACGTGTTGATGTATTTGATGAATTGTTGAATATGAGATAATAGATGTATATGTTGCATACTTTAAAGTTGTTAAGAGTTGTTATTATATATATGATAATGTTCTAAGATGAATGATGATTGAGAAGTTGAATATATATGAGTTGAGATATGTGCAGTGAGTTGCAAAGTTGTGTATTGGTTGTGTAGTTGTGTTGAATATATATGAAGTCGTTGAGTTGTGATGATCAACTTAGAACTAGAGGAGGGGTTTTCAAAAGTTGCATATCTCATTGTGTGGATATTGCGCTGTAGTGTGCGTAGAGCTCAATTTGTTAAAAACCCGTTTTGGGAAGTTGACTCTTAATGTGGATAGCTATGTTAAATCTACTTTAGGATTTAGTTGGTACCGTGTGAGTAAGGTTGAGACACATGTATAAAACAACCACAATAAAGAGACTAGGTCGAACTATATTAATTACAAGTGACCAACCAAGTATAATATGAAGTCAAGAACTTAATTCCTAACCAAGTATCGGAAGGACGTAATTTTTGAAAGGTAGACAGTGGACTAATCTCGTAGGAGACTTAGTTAAGTTAATTAATGTCGTGGTAGGCTCATACCTACCTATTCTACCTTGACAGTAATACTATACTTCTTTATGTAAGTAACGACATCCGAGTAACCAAGTTGTTGTATTATAGATTTTATATCCAATTTTTTGTTGATCTAGCAAGCTCAAAAAGATCGCCTTGTGTTGTTTGATTGGTAGGATCAAGTCACTTAAACTACTCATCCTATATTGTAAGATATTTTCTAGTTCAAATGTGTGACAACGCATGTAATTATTATGTTGTAAATACTGTGTTATTGTGATGAACAATCTAAGTTGTTAATACTGTGATGTTGAGTTGATATTGTGTTGTTGTAGAATGAGAAGTTCATGTTGATATATGAAGGTTGTATTTCGATGATGAATATTGATAGTGTTGAAGATGAGATGAGGATGTGTTGATGTATTAAAGTTGTTGATGTTTTTATGTTGTATGTTGTATATATGTTGTGGCTTTAAACTCTAACTTACCCTTGCGAGTTTTTATATGATTTGAACTACGATGATTATACATGGTATGAAAGCAAAACAGAAGATAAGTGTGGAGTTATGTAGTGGAGGCCATTTACTGGTGTTGAAGCTGGATGTCTTTTTGATGACTATCCATTTGGGGTGGTTCTTGTATAGGTATTATCAATTACTTGACTAATGACTTAGTTTGTATAATTTACTTTTATTGAATCACTATATTTATATCTATATTTATTTAGTTGTTTTATTTTCACTAGTATACTATGTAATACATATTCAAATATTAATAAACTTATTTTCGCTACTTGTTGCTATGTCATTTAGTATAGGACCATGATTAATCATTATATTAAATATCATTTTTTAAGTAATAATGTATACTAATAAATAATAATTAACTTAATTATTGATATTCACACAGTTACTTAGTAAATATTGAATCATATAACAAATGTAAGTTCTCTATTTATTTATGGTCAAACATCTTTTTTAAAATAAAAGATTTTATTAAAATAATTTGACCATGAACAATAATAAAATTATACGTGGATAATAAATGAGACTTAACCTTCAAAATTAATTTGTGACAGAAAATTAATTAAAAGAACTAAAAATTGACAAATGATTTAACATTTATTAAGGTGATATAGTGAATATTAATAAAAATCAGACATAATTTATTAATACAAATAAGACTTTAATCTTAAAGAACTAATTTATATGACAGTAAATTAATAAAGGATTAAAAGCTAATTTAAAAAAAACAAAATTAAAATTTTAAAAATTTTGAAACTAATTAATCAACGATACTATAAGGTATTATTATGAGGCTGACGAACAGAAAGCCCTTTATGAGCCAAACAATGAAAAAATGGACGTCAGAAAGTATCAGTGAAGCTGAAGAAGAGCGCAATTGTGGGTCCTCTCAATCTCAATTCTTTTGTATTGTATTGTGTTGTTCCCATCACAAAATTCACATGTCAATAATGGCCTACACAATACAGAAAAGGTCAAAACATAGACAGAAATAATAAAATAATAAAAATGTTATGAATATTATGCCACTCACAATTTATTAGTACTACATCTACATCCCGACCCAACGGCTATATTTTGTTCCCTCTCTCTCATTCATTATTCAACCATTATCTATCACTATTGCTTCTTCATTTTCCACAACGGTCCTCACTCACCACATAGTACCCTCATAAACCATCATAATCATATTCTTATATTCTTACGTTACATAAATAGTACATATATACCATATAGTTTCTTCTGCTATACCATTACACTGGAAATGGACACTGCTAGTGAAGCTAAGGTTCAACATCTCACAAAGAAATCTTCCGACGAGCTTTTGAGCAAGTTTGCGGAAGTGGCTTCCGAGGAAAAAACCAAACGGAGGACGAAGAGGAGGGAAGATGAGTGTGACAGCCCTTCAAGTGGTGGCGCCGCCGTGGTCGAACGGAGGTCCCTTCTGTCGCCCAAAGTGGCACGGAGGTCGGCGTTGCTCCGGCAGCTCAGAGTGAGGGATGTTAGGAACAAGTCATCACTCTTTGGGACCATTCATAAGGTTAGGCCAATTCAATTCCTATTTCTTCAAAATAAAAAATAAAAAAAAATAAAAAAGCATGCTATGCTATTTATCCATATGAAAAGGGAAAACAAAATTAGATAAAGGTTCTTAGTTTCTTAGTTGTTGTTGGGCTTTTTTCTTTTTCAATTCTGTAATCTGTTTGATAAAGGTAGAACTAAAGAATTATGTGGATTATTGAGATTCTATAAAAAGAACAACACCATTGTATGTCAAAAGTTATTTTTTTCTGACTTGGGATTGTAATGAAAATTGTTAAAACGTGTGAGAATTTTTTATTTTTTTTTTTGAGTATTTTTTAAATTATTTTTTAATTAGAATAAAAAAATATATCTTAGTCATTTAATGCCAACTTTTATTATTGTATTAGTGAAATGAAATTCAAGTTTTAGTTTAAAAAATAAAAAACACTAGAAATATTTCATAAACTGTATTTAAGTTTTATCTCAAATAATTATGCTTAGGTTGTTGTCCTAAAATTGAAGCTTCACAACAAACAATATAAAATATAATGGTCATTCAATTAATCCATTACAATCATATCAATTCGTTTTCTGGAGTTGCTGGAAGGGGAATAACTTGAGAGTTAGAAATTCATTTGCTTTATTCGAATAACGGTGATTAATTTTAAGAATCTCAGCTTGCTTTTATAGCTAAAATTCCTAAGCATGGGGATAAAATGATAATGTTGGAAAAATAATATTCATACAATTTTTTGGTGGGGGAATGTTCAAGCCTGTTGCAGCTTCAAACAATTTACAATAAATAAATAAATATACAATTACTCCAAGAGGTAATTTTATTAATTTTGATCAGTAATGTTATCTGGATGTTATTTGTCTCCCATATTTTTTAAATATATTTTTGATCACTTTTTGTAGACATGGCGTAGAACTGTGGAAGGTGCCTCCAGAGTTTTCATGGAAAAGCATTATCATCGCCATAAGCGTTTGATCAATGATATTGTTTAGCTTCTGATGGAAAATCTACAAGGTTGCACGTGTGCTAATTCTTAGTCAGAAGGAAAATGCAAAACTCACTCTATGTATATTTTTCCATTAAAATTTTAATTCAATTATGTTGCTGATGCATTATATATTTACTTTGTACTGATTATTGTTTATTCTTTCACCTCACGTAATAAAATTTATTTGTTCATTCATTCTTCCTTTGCATTAAATACAATAATCTCATCTCTCTTCCTCTTTGACAACTGTTTCATCTAAATTCTGGTGAAACATTAATGGAATAGCGATGAATCGTCCAATATGTCACAATGAACAAAATAAAAAAGAAAGAAAAGTAAAAGAAAAAGAAAATAAATCATTGCCATTATCTTAATCGACTTCCTGTGTAGCAACCACAATTATTTAACGCATGTGTATAACAGGAGTTTGATTAGATTAAAATAGGTCATATTAGATTGGACCCATTTTGTCAAGATTTATAAACCAAATAATTAAATGCAATAACAGTCTCAAAAAAGTGCATTTCAAAAGAGAAATTTATGTTTCTAGACTATTTCTTTTAAGGTCTGTTTGGTGGCCAAATATAACATAATAATGTGATACTTTTATCTTATTGTTGTTCTAATGTATTTTTATCATAAGGAGGAGCTGAATTAGGAAACAACAAGATATGATATACTTTTTTCTCTATATATTATATTATATATAAAATAATAGCAAAATATATAATAAATATAAGATGTATAATATTAAATATTACTTTATAAAATATTAACGATACATATTATATAAAATTATCAATATAACATATTACAAACTTTACATTCAGCATTTTATCTTATATACAATTATAATAATTATGACATGTAAATTTAAAGTATATTATTAAATAAAATGTTAAAATAAAAATTATAGTTTAAATATTTTTATAAAAATATTTGAATAATGAGGAGGGTTCAAACGACACCGGTGTAACTTTTATTAAGTGTTACACCGCTTAATAACTTTATATTAAATGTGAATTTTGAAAATCCAACCGTTAGATTGAAAGTTCATATCTCTTAGATCATATATATCAAATTTTATATTAATCTAAGATGATTTGATACTTCATTCTTATAAAATAAAATTGACGTAATATATACATTTTAAAATATACTAAAATATGAACACTTTGATTACCTTCAAGTTGTTGTTCAATTTTAACAAAATTTGACATATATGATCTAAGAGATATGAACTTTCAATCTAACGGTTGGATTTTCAAAATTTACATTTAATATAAAATTATTGAGCAGTGTAACACTTAGTAAAAGTTACACCGGTGTCGTTTGAACCCTCCTCTTGAATAATAGTTATAAATATAATTTTTATGTCTGAGTCCTGTGAGGAGACGATTCACGTGATCAACAATGATGATGAAGCAGTTGTTGCCATAGCAGAACCTTTTTGATGGTGATTAGAAACCTTGAGAGGCATTCTTGTAGCGAATTCTCTTTTGTTGTGGCTCAGGCTGATGCACAAATTGAGGATAATAGTTAGGTTGAGATTGGCACTAATACCCTCTTTGTTGGGGTTTGTGATGGCCATGGAGGTTATGATGCTTCAAGTTTCATTGAAGAACACCTCTTTGAAAAAATTATCAGTTAGTCTTGAGTCTTGATGCTTTTTCTTTCACATCCAAGAATTTCATACTAACCTTTTCTTGATTACAAGTATCGTTGAGAACAGTAGAAATATAAATGAAGATGTTATTAGAGAGGCCATTACTGTAATAGAGTCTAAGTTCATGCATCTTGTTGAAAACTTTGTTCTGCTAAAGCCATTGATTGTAGTAATAGGTGTGTGTTGTCTCTTAGGAGTCATTTGGAGAGGAACTTTATACATGGCCAATCTTGGCGATTCTCGTGTAGTACTTGGTAGACACAAATGTAGCCGGATCATAGCTAAGCAGTTGATTGTAAAGCACGATGCTAGTAGGACATAAATTAGAAACAACTCAAGGCTTCACATCCTAATGATCCACAAATTGTACTTTTCAACCATGGAGCATGGCGCGTTAAAGGCATCATCTAGGTTGTATTTTCTTGTCAATTAAAGACTCCAACCAATGCTTATATAATTATCCATTATTCATTATTCACTATATGCTCAAATTGTCATTGCTTATTAATATCACATTATGTTACCAATAATTAATCCCCATAATAAAACTCAGATATCCAAATCCATTGGAGATGAATATTTGAAAGACTCCATATTTGCTTTGAATGCAGCCTACCCATGGTTATACTTGCCTCAACCTATTACCCAACCTACCGTAACAACAAAACCATCTTTATCTTTAAGAGTTTTGGATTCTAATGACAAATTCCTTATGTTTGCATATGATGGATTTTGGGAACACCTGTCAAATTAGCAAGTAGTAGGCATTGTTTATAAGAATCCAAGAAATGTATGCCTTTTCTACTCATATTTTTATACGCAAAACTTAAATAATGTTGGTACTATTTTTTAATCAAAGTTTTATCCAAGAAAGTAAAGTTTCAATTCTAATTGGAAAACAATATTAACCATATCTAAAGAATTGCACTTAAATTTTGTCTTTACATCTATTATGTTTGCCCTTGTCAACAAGTTCTAACTTATTCTTATGCTATATGTTGTGCTTTTGTTATAAAAAAAAATAAATAAATAAAAACTCTAGGGGGTTGCAAAAAGGAGGCAGTTAAAAAAGGAAATGTGCAATATAGAAATAACTTAAGAACTTAGCATCCTCATCAATATAATTATCTTGATTTCCAGTATAATTAAAGTTAAAACTTTGGCATATATCAAGCTAATAGCTTGAGGTTTTGAGGTAATTTTCTTAGTCTACACTAACCTCATTAATTAAATACCAATAAAAAAATGAACGAATTTAATTTTATATGTATTAATAAAAAATTCAAGGTTAAATTTATATTTATGATATTTAAATCCCTTAACCAAAGTGAAAGACCTTGAAATGAGAAGCGCTTTAGAATATACATAATAATAGTGTTGTTATGAAAGTATTCTAATTTTTTTGCATATGTATGCCTTAATTTCATAAAATATAATTTTTCAATTGATGCTCAAATTTCTAAAAGGTCAAGTTTGAATTCGAGCCTAAACTTTTACAAGGTTAAATTCAAACTTAAAACTTAATAATCATGAACTATGAAAATCAAATTCATTCTTAATATCATAAGGTCGAGATTGAACATAAATTTCAAATACATCATAACCAAATTAAGCTCAACCATTTGTAAATATTTTAAGTTCTTTCGCTTCTCTAAAACATAGGACTTGGGACACTTATGTATTGTCCAAGAAGATAAGGTAATCGACTAACCGTCAATCTCATAAATAACTACTGAATCAATAGATAATCACCTATCCCACTAACCTAAAACAAGACAAGTATAGATTGACTTCAATTTTTAATCTTGAACTATAATGAATCTTTAACTAACTTGATTGTTGAAGTACTCTTTGAAGATACCCAACTAATTTTTCCAAAAAGAACTCGGAGAAGAAGATCGAAATTAAAGATCAAGAACTTCATCTTAAAAAAAAATTAGAAATTCATATACTCAAATTTTGTTATATTTTGATAAGAATAGCTTCTATGTTGAACACGATAGATTTTATTTATAAAAGATTTTTCTATTCAATTTTATTTATTCATGTAACTTTCCGAGTAAAAAGGGTAAGCTTCATGTATAATTGTGTCATTGGCGATGTTTTAGGGATGCGGCAAATTTGGCTAGGTATCCGAGTAAAAAGGGTAGTCTTATTTCCAATTGTTTTGTCACATAAACAACCCAATTTTTCATTTCCACTTATTCTTTTGACGGAGGAGTACTCTCTAGTCTCTTCTGTTCATGGCTGCACAGAATATATAATAGAATATTCTTTTTTACAACAAAAGTAGTTCTGTTGATCTACATTTGTTACTGCTAATATTTTGCAGCAATGCATCAAGTTTACCCATGAAGGCAAAGTTGGAATAGAACTTTTACGTTTTGCCAGAGCCTACTTTTGCAAAAGCAGAATGCATCCAAAATATGACTCCAAACAAGTCAACTATTTCGGTGAATGGTGTGAAAGAAGAGAAATATCCCCCAAGACCTCTAAGTGGCAGTGTGACGTGTATGACAGGCATAGGAAAACCAAGTATATACTGAACCTTATTTTTTATTCATCGCAACCGCGACCTCTGTTCTTTTGGTTGTTTTGAATTTCTATTTTCTAATCACTACTTTGATTTTGGTTACAGAAAAAAGTACTCATCGGGTTAATGTTGTAATGCGACAGAAAATGCTATACCAAATTTGTTTAATAGGTACATGCAAGTCAGTGCAGACCGCGGTTGCAAGTATTAATTTCGAAAAAAATGTCAGAAAATATAACATAATTAAAAAATAATAATGAAAATAACAATTGCCTCTCCCCCTTCTGATTTCTAGTTCCTACACGTTAGATCCCGGAAACATTTACTGAAATGATTTATCCATTCTGATTGAAATAGAGCATAGAAAATGAAAATCAAAAATAAAATTTAAAAAAAAAGACTTCATAAAAGCTTAGTTATAATAATACACCACCATTTTGACATCCTCTGGTGGAACGCTCAAAGGCATATATGATCAGTTGGCGTTGGACAGTAATCAACAATGACCTTTTCGTTGCAGAGAATTATAAATCATGCACTTACCACTATGTTAATCAAAAAACTTCATGAAAAGAATTTGTTGATTCAACCAAACCAAATCGGTAACAATGCACATCTCTTCTACAGCAAAACGGAGAAAAAAAAATTGAATCTTACATATCTTGCTAGCCTTCATGCTCTTATCTCAACATATCAAAGAAAGGAAAACACAAAAACATGATAAAAGGAATGGTAAAGAGTAGGAAATGGAAGTTCCTCAACCACTTGATGGTATTTTTGTAGTATTCGTATAAATAGTAATTTCCATGATCCAGCTTTCATTCTCCATGATTAAAACTTAGAAGCATTTCCTGTGTACGATTGATGGTCCAGATTCATCATACTCTGCCTTCGCAATCCACATCTGCACGTGGGAAAGAAAATACAAAACAGGAACATATTAAGTATTAGCTAAGCCTCATTAAATATCCAAGGTTTGAGTTGACTTACTCTGTC